GTATAGGTGTCCTTTTTGGTTGGTTTGCTTTAAAAATAGAGGGCCCTGGTTTAGATGGGGTTTATTCCATTTACCAGGCCCATCTATTTTTCCGAAAGGCCACCTATGGAACAAGTCATGTGCCCAGAGTTGTGTTTTTAGGCTGCCAGGTTCAGGAGAAACCAGGCTCGCAATGACACGAGTCGGCCAAAACACACGCCGCTCATTGGCAGAGTATTCTGTATGGTTTTGGAGCACTCCACAGTCGGAAAAGCGACCAGGAAGAAGCTCCATTGGCCACCTGTGGGTTAAAGGGAAACCGGAACACACCCCTTTTTGTGGGTTTCCCGCTGAGACAAGACATGGAATTCTTAGGGTTTTTTTCAAGGGAAACACCAAGTCGCCTCTTCTGCCCAGTTTTTGAGACCAAAAGAAGCCGAAGGAGCTGATGCCGGACCCCTTCTTCGACCCGGAGGAGCGCGGCGGCGCCGCTTTCGGCAGCGCCGACACCGGCGGCGGCGCTGCCTCCGCTGCCGCGCCGCAGGCGGACGGCGGCGGTCCGGAGGCGCGGTGCCGCTTCGAGGCGGGGAGGGCGGAAGAGGTGGTGGGGGGTGGAGTGGAGTTGGGGAGTTGGCTGTGGCTCAAAAAACACGGCACCCCAAATTGGCGCCTTAGTATATGGAGCCAAAGCCTGAAACCTGCGTAACCCTGGCTCGTTGATTTTGAGCAATACCCAGTTGGGGTGGGGTGGGGGGGGGGGGTTCGAAGGGGCCGCACAAAGGCGGTTGCCATGTTTTTTTTTGTTGAGCATGGTTCTCTTGGAGCCAAGCTGCCAAGCCTTCGAGACGTTTTTGCATCTTTGGAGAGCGCGGAGAGCCTTGGTAAACTACATGCGATATGTTCCAGCTAGATGTGTTTGGCTCCAAAATGCGATCCTCTTCTACGAAAAGAGAAGAGAAACCACTCACATCTTCTTCGTGCTGGAGTTGTGACGGTTTTGATGGAGCATCCCTTACAATGGGCTTTTGGCTTTTAGCTGCCTCTGATTCACGGCCTGAATGCAGCAGGGCTGTTGCCCGCGCGCAGGAAGGGCACGACTACATGGGCAACGATCTCATGACGATCCCTGAGAGAACCTTGGCTTGGAAGGGGCGCAAAGAAGGACTCGGTGGTTCAACACCGACCTTTTGACCTTTTGGTTTGCTTGAGGGGCAGCTGAGATGAAGGGTAAGATGTTGCGACCTCAGCTTTCTTGCGACGATTCCCAAGAATGACTTGTTTCCTTTTTTGTTCCTGGCTGCCAGGGGTTGATAGGAGCAGGATTCCATTTGGTTGGTTTTTGGAGGGACACCACAAGGGAAACCACCATTTTGGGGCTTCCTGAAGAAAGTGACAATCACACAGCGGCCCTAACGATCAGGCACGAAAGAAGCAAACCTCATCAAGGTGTCCTCTTCCTTTCTTACCTTTTTCTTGTTTTCCACCCACAGAGCCGGGGTTTCCGTTTTTGTCCTTTGTAGGGGAGTTTCCTTCACAATCAACACCTTTTAGGCTCACTCCCTGAGTTCCTGGACTTTAAACTTTTTGGGTTTGGACCATTTTAGTGGTAAACATCGAGTTTGGGTACTTCTTTTGGCCAATCCGCAGAAGATCAGACGTGGGATATGGGTGATCTCTATGAACGGGAGTAAGATCCATGACCATGCCAAGGTTTTCCCGAAAAAGTGAAACCCCTTTGAACCCCATCCAGACGTGGGTTTGTCGTCTCTCAATCGAGGAGCTTCCCCGAACTTGGGGGCGGTTCCCTAGAATTTTTCTCTTTTAGAGCCCTTAAAACGGGTAGACGTGTCGCAAGAAGCAAAAACACATACCCTTCCCCCCCTCCCCCCCGCCCTCCCCCCCCAAAAAAACAACCAAAGCATGAAGAGGAAGAAGAGAAGCAGAAGAATAAGAAGAAGAAGAAGAAGGGCAACATCAAAACGCAAAAGTAAAATAATTAATACCATGAGTAAATAAAACTAAATCAGGAAAAAAGAAACAGAACCAAACCGAGGATTTTTGCCTGGCAGTTGGTTCGGCCCCAGGCACCAAGGAGTCCTGCTGCCGCGCCTGCTTCCGCTTCAACGAGAAGCGCCCCAACAGCTGCCTCGCGGCGGTGCTGAGCGCCTCGGATCGCTGCAAAAGGGCCCCGGAGCAATGGGACGAAGGAACCCGGGGTCAGGATTTGTTGACATGGCCATGGGTCAAAATCCCCAACCCCTGAACATCCGAATCCCCACTAAAATAGACTAAATTGGGTAGTGCACCTAGCCCAAAATGGTACCCTTGGTTTTGACCCACAGCCACATTGCTGGGACATTAAAGAAAAAACCTGTGTGTGTGCGTGTGTGTTGCTTCCTTTTTTTGTTAAAGCTGTCGCTTAAGGAGTGACTTTGATCGCGAGTGAAACCCAAGGGCCAACAGCCCCTCAAAAAGCAAGCGCGGATTGCTATTTGAAGGTCAGACCAAGGGCAAAGAGACATTCTTTTGTCTGCTTGGCGAACAAAATCCAACAGGTACACGTGAACGCTGGCTTGTTTCGGTGTTGGAATTGTTCTTGAGTTGGTTCTGAAAAGAAGGTTTGCTTGAAGCGGCGCGTTGCCCGGCGCTTGCGCGCACTGCGCACTGCGCATTTTCCAGGCTCCCCGACGGACGACCCGCCCAGCGCTTGTTGGATCAAGAACACCCTGCAGGGCGCCGTTGCGAAGGAGGGCGTCGTGGCCTGTGGCCTGACTCGTTGGATCTGGCTGGTTGGATGCTGGGCTCCTTAAAAGATACATTTTGCAACCACTTGAAACATGTTGCGGTTTCCATCAAAATAAAGAGAAACCTCCATTTACCAGGCAATGTTCAGGTGTTTTGAGAGAGGTAATGTTGACCCAGGATTAATACACCCGCCCCATTTTCCCGGGGGGATTGAGGCCCCTCCAAGAGTGGTCTGAATCCAAGCACTAGGAATTGGACCCCCCCGATCCAAATCAACCAGTAGCTTCATCCGGGGTCGTTAGAGATGCCTCCGGGGCCCGGAGCCGCTTTCTGTGGTATTGGGCAGTCAAGGCTTCAAGGTGATTCAATCGTCGCAACGCATGCTGGCATTACCGGGTGAAGCCCTTGCCCGCCTGACCCGTCCTCTTTTTTGTTGTTGTTTTTCTTTTTTGTTCGGGGGGCTGCGGCGAAGACCTCTAAGAGCTTTTTTGGGAGGAGAGCGGGGCTGAGACCACAACGTGTCAACCACAACGTGTCAACCACAAGATGTGTTCGATGGACCTTCCCCCCGAAGGTCCAGTTTTTTGCCTAACCAGTGGCTTTGTCCGGGTCTCCCCAGACGATCTGATTGGCTCAGTTGGGCGAGGTTGATACTGGTGCGATACCAGGGAAAGCCTCTCCTGTACTCGGAGAATTTGTGTGTGTTTTGGATGGCGTTCCATTGAGGAATTCTCACAGGTTTGGCTTGTTTGCGGAGTTTCAGCTCGAGAAGAACCCGGGCCCACCGGCGGGCCCAGTGCACAATTAGGTTTCGTTACTTTGTCACATGGGTATCAATGAACTTCAAAAGGGTGTCCGGGTTCTTTCTCTGGACGGGGCAAGTAGGTGTACCCTCCCTCTCACTAACATGGCATTTGACATGATGCACCTCCCCACGAGTGCCATGTTAGGAGGAGGAAGGGCAACTCTTTTTGTTGCAGAGATCAACTTCCGGCAGCGGCAAGGCATATGTCTTTCTTGAATGGGGGGGGGAAACCATTCAGCTCTCAGTTCCTGAGCCGAGGGTATTCTGTGATACCCACTTGGGGCACAAGCTGCAAGCTCGAAGGTAGCAACATGTTCCCTCGGCTCTTTCAGGGGTCCGAACAGAGGAGCTTCCTCTAGAAGCTATTTTTTTAGGTTCCATGACTCTTTCCAATCATGGAATTGGATCTGGAGAGTATTTTATGGAGGCCCTAAGAGGGGTAGGTCCAAGGGTGGGTGGTTCTCTAGATTTCCTTGGGGAGCCTTAGGGAACCCCCCTCCACCCCCCCCCCCTCCCCCCAGGGCCATCCCCCCTCAGGGACTCCGTTCTCGGGCGCTTCTCGGCGAAAGTTCCCCGAGTCTCGAGGCGTTCCGGAGAAGGAGCCGACCATTTGAGCGCCTTCAAAGGCAAACACCGGCGCGGGGATGCGCGCGGCTGCGGTCCGAGGAAGCCTCCGAGGTCTTCGAGGAGAGAGTGTTCTGCTGGTTGAGTCGCTAAAAACAAAGGTGAAACTTGACTGGTTCCTTAATAAAACATGAACTGGGGGTATGTACTGATCTGTTTTGGGGCTTGTTTTTTCCACCTCTTCTGTCGGGTTTCTTCCTGTCCGGGATTTCCAGCTTGGAGCTTCGAACAGGCACAGTCAGGCGTCGGGGCCTTCGGGGCCTTCGGGGCCTTCGGGGCCTTCGGGGCCTTCCCTTCGGGGCTTCGGTTCGCGAGGAGTGAGCCGAAGGCTTCGCGGGCCACGTCGCCGGAGCGGACCCGAAAAGTGCGCCTCTTCCACTTTGTCATTTGAGCTCAGGTGGCTGCAGCCACCTGTCAAAGCCGTTTTGGGATCCCATTTTGGAGTAGCACCACCCATTTTTAGTCGGGATTTTGTGGGGATATTGGGATGTTTGGGGTAGGTGACTTCACCACCCATTTTGGTCCACTTTGGATTGGGATGTTCACTCGAAAGTACGATTTGGGTTTGACCCATGGCCCAGTGATTTCCTGCCCGCCAGTTGGGTTCTCGCCCGCCCGTCTGCCTTTTTTCTTTTCCGCGGTGGCCAGGCAGATTTTTCCCCAGCCGAGCCCCTTGTACTGCCCCTCTTAGGGATGGGCGTTCGATGGCGGTCGATGTTTTTTCCACCAGGTAAACCAGGAATCCAAACCAATTTTTCGTAGCCAAACCAGCCTGAAAAAAACACAGATGCTTCTGGGTAGACCCACAAAATGGCACTTTTGGCTTTCCTTTTGGCTTCTTTTCGAGGAAGGGCATCACGGTGTTCCTGGTGGCCAATAAGCCGGGGCCCCGAGAGCGAAACCGAGCGGGACCGGCCGAGGGGAAGTACAAGAGACTTACGTTGGGACCGGACCGGCCGAGGGGTGGGTCGTGTTAGTTTTTTTTGGGGGGGAACTCGTCATCCGTGGGCGATACTTACCTCCTTTGTCTCATTTGTCCTGAATGTCAAAACAGGGATTGGACCCACACCCTTTGGGCTTCGCTTTGAACCAACCTGAACAGGGTGCGAAAGCAGCTGGTATAGTTCCCTTCATGTCCGTCAGTAAGGGGGATGACTCACGCCTAAACCCAAGGTCCACAAACGCAAGGGCCATCTTCAACAACAAATAGAGGCTCTAGCCGAGGGGTTTGCGGTGGCATTGTCTTGCTTGTTCTCAGCAGGAATGAGACATAAAAGCACCCCCCCCTCAAACCCTCCAACTCTTTCTTTTTTTCGGGAATCCCCAAAAGCGGTTTCTTCCCACCCGGGCTCCTTGTCATTCCAATCTTTGCCCTCTTTGCAACTCTTCCTCGAGTTTCTTTTTAAACTTTCGGATCCAGAAGGCCCAACAAAAACTCCAGGGATAAACTTGGGCTCGCCATGGCAGCAGCAAGACTTCGTCTTTCTCTTTGGGCGCCTTCCCCGCGGCTCCGAAGACTTCCGAAGGATCGACAAGGAGCCCTTGGCCGCGGGGAAGCCTGAGGTCTGTCTCACTGGGGTCGCTCTTTTGGCTCGGTGGCAATGGGGGTTCTCATAGTTGGAATCGGTGGTTTCCCCTGGAATCCCTCTGACGCTTTCTGGGTGACTTTGATCAATCATGATTAAAAAACAAGCCATTGACTGTGATAATAATAATAATAAAAAAACAAAGACGAAAACATGACTTTGATGATTAAAAAAAATAAAATTAAGGAGGCCAGTCTCATAGGATTCGGAAGCTTCAGAGCGGCCGGGAACCCCAGCCCTCCGGTTCCTGAGGTTTTCGGCTTGGTGTCTAGAACTTTTAGCGGGGGATCTGAGGGCCGCCGCCCAGAACGGCGAAAGCCTTCTTGTTTGAGACCTTCGCCATATCTTAAAAGGGCTTTAGGCGGAAGTCCGAAGAATGTCTCTCTCTCTCTGAAGCCATCCTTCTTTCCGACTTCCCAACTTCGGAACCGCTCTTTGCAAGAGAAGCATCCAGGTGAACTGGCAAGGACTTGTGGGCCCCGATCGAGTCCCTTCAAACAGCTCGGGTACTTTCTGTGGGGTGTCTTACCAAGGCGGCCCCAGCTTGACTAGAACTCCCTTTTCTCTTGACTGCTATTGGGCAACGGATCTTTAGACTTTAACTTTTTGGTTGAAATCAAGTTGTGTTTTCCACTAAACCCCCAAACAGTTGTCCACTTTTTGCTGGGGGGTCGTTGCAGCAACCAAGAACTTTCCCCTTTGTTGGGGACTAGAAACCTGAAGCTCCTCCCTGCGATTTCAGGATTTCAAGTGGTTGCTTCCTCAGAATGATCTCCCCTTTTGGTGTTTTTTTCTTCTTTTTTGGGGTCCCCTTTGTTTTCAAAACGAACCAGGCAAAAAAGATGATTTTTTGCAGGGGGCCTAATTCCAGCGTAGGTTGGACCCCGAAGTTCCTGCGAACCGCTGCTTTCCCGTCGCCCTTCGAGGACTAGAAACATATAACTCCCTCCACGCTCCGCCAATTTCTGGGGGCCGGGGTCCAGGTGAGCCATAATCAAAACCCGGGTGGATGAAGGTTGGTAAGGGACAGACAATCCCCTTGCCATAAATCGCTGCGGATCTCGGGCTTCATAATTCCTGAAGCATGGTTCCGGGATTACGACCATTTTACGCCCCCGGGTTTTGATTGCCACATGGCTATGAGTTTTAATAGGGAACCCCCTGAAAAGTGGTTGGTGGACATAAATCCTCCACCTAAATGATGTCCACCAAAGGGTCAGGTGTCCTGGGTGTCCACCAAAGGTTGCCCCAAACCGAGGAGCAGACCAAGAAGAACCGCGCGGCCGCGCGGTCCTTCGCCGAGGTCAAGGAGCTTTGGCCTCGGAGCGGAGGGTTGAGGGGGTCGATTCGATTTGGGCCAGGTCTCCCAGCCAGGTGCCTTTGAATCCACTTTTTTGGGGGAGGGGAGCTGGGGAGCTGGGGGGGGGGGGGGGTAAAAGATGCGCCCATTTTTGAAGCTCCCATCTGGGCGGGCGATTTGGAAGGGAAGCTAAGCAGCTAGGCCCCCCCCGCTCTTTTACTTTGGAGGTTGTTCCCCATGTCTAACATAGGGTGGATGAGTTGGGCTCCCTAACAAATTTGGGAGATTTTTCTCGATGTTTTTGGATGGGGTCCTTGTTTCTCTCAGGCGTAAGGAACCCGAGGTTCGGGTTCGCATGGGATTCGATCTCAGCCCAAAGCGTGACTCGGTCTCCCAGGTGCCCGCTCTTTCACCCCTTCTTGGGTTGGGAGATTCGGTTCCCCTACTAAAATAGACGACTGACAAAAAGTTGGTACCAACTTTTTCTAACCTATCTACTGGAGGACCTAGTGGGGGAGGTTAATATCCCTGCCTTTTTCTAGGCAACCCAAAAATGCACGCCCTTTTGGCATGGGGCCACAACGATCGAAAGGGGAGGGCACGACTATTGATTGACTGACCGACTTTCCATGGAGTGAATGAAAGCGACTCCTTTGGGACGGTTGACAGGCAACCACCTGAAACCATCCATTTGGAGAGGTCCATGCCCCCCCAAAACCATTGTTTTCCTTATAGCCTCAATCCGCCCTTAACCTAGCTCAAACTAACCCTACGCCCACCCCATGACCCATCGACAAACTCAGCCTAGAGCGCCCAAAAGCCGTCGTTCGGTTCCTACCTGGCTAACAAGGAATTTAGTAAGACCTACGTAAAGGTGTGTCTTAAACTAGGAATCAGAACCCCCCCAAAGATGATGGTTTGCCCTTTGGTGTCCCTTTAAAACAACCCAAACCAGGTACCCGCAACAAAACACATGCCCATAAAAGCCATATGCTTCCATGTGCTTAAGACTAATTGTTTGTGTTCCCCTGGTGTTGAAGGGAATCTGTTACTCTGAGAAACAGGTGAGCCACAATCAAAACCTGGGTAGATGAAGGTTAGTAAGGGACAATATCCCAGCCATAAATAGCTGCGGATATGCGCCTTCTTAATTCCTGAAGCATGGTTCTGGGATTACGACCATTTTTATACCGGGTTTTGATTGTGGCTCAGGTGACGTATTCGCAAGTGGATGAGTAGAACCCAAACTTCCATGGGGTTTGGTGGGTGCACCTGAGGCTTCCCTACTTCGAGGCGTGGAAGGGTGCAACTCAGACACCCGGATCTCGGGTGTCAAGCTAGAGTTTGGAACCCTTAAAGCCGAGTCGGTTTTCCATTTGGTTTCCCATTTGGTGTCAAACTCGGTATTTTCTATTTAGTTTCCCCCCCCCCAAAAAAAAAGAAGAAACAAAGAAACAACAGAAGACAAACGCCCCCGCCCAGTGGCACTTGTCGCAGTCCTTGGACGTCCCCGACCCTTTTCATTGGCTTCTTGTCTGGCCACGGCGCTGCATCTGGCGGTTGGTGGGCAACTTCCCGAAAGAAACCCGCGGCCTGCCAGGCATCGAGTTCGGGTCTTGGGAGCTTTGGCGTTTTAGAGAAGGTGATTCTAGGGCGACCTTCCATTTCCATTCTTCACCCAGGGATCCGAATCTTTTCAAGGAAACCATGCAAAAACCCGGGGAAAACGGATCCGGTTTTTGAAAGTTGAAAAGAATGGGGAATCAAGCCCTAGAGTTATGCTGGATACGAGTCTGTGGGTGGCTCGTCTCTTGTCGGAATCGGACCCCCCAACATGGCAAAACGGTTCCTTTTGGTTTCCCTTCAAACCAATCCAAAAGAGGAAGCCTGTTGGGGCATTGGGGGATATAAAAGATATGGGGGTGGGGTGTTGGGGGTGGGCTGGGATCCCACCCAACGGGTCCCAGCGCGGGGGTTCGGGGGCTCGTGCCGGGAGGTCTCGGCCATGAAGTTTCTGCGGGTGCGGAAGATCTTCCGGGAGATGGTGGAGCACATCGTGCTCCAGCCCGGGCCCCCCAGAGCTCCGGGGAGCTCCGAAAAGGTTCGTGAGAGAAGAATATCTCGTCTTGGCGGCTTCCATAGATATGATGAGAATTGATGAGGGGTTTTGGGGTTTTGGGGTGTTGGGGTTTTGGGGTTTTGGGGTTTTGGGGTTTTGGGGTGTTGGGGTGTTGGGGTTTTGGGGTTTTTGGGTTTTGGGGTTTTGGGGTTTTGGGATCTCCACATGGGTTGCTCTTTGGCCCGGCCAAAGGGAAACAAGGAAGCGCCACTTTGGAACCGCGAATATGGGTGATATCCCAGGCTACCAAGGACTGACCAAGTTGGCTGAACACCCAAGCAAACAAACAAAACTTTGGCGCATTTTGCTTGGCTGTTAGGACTTTAACTTTTTGCCAACTAATGGGTTTACCGTACTAAACCACTAAAAGTTATTCACTTTTAGCAGGGGAGCAGAAAGCAAACAAACAAAATTCAGGCGGTATGCCCAACAGCCGAATCTCCTTTTCAACCCTTGAAAGCTGACCCAAATCAACTCCGAACGATCCGATTTCTGGGCAGAGACCCAAATCGCCCAACCAGCTGCGGAAGATTCAAGTGCTGTGCCAGTCCCCCCATTTTTTGGGAGCAACCCCTCAAATGGCGGCGGACAGGTCGACAGAGGCCTCCCTTAAAATGTCGAAACATGGCGACCAAACAAACATGTGTCCTGTTCTTTTTGTTTGGAGGGGTTCCGTTTGTGCCTTTTTGCTCAGGGAATGAGACATGGAATGAACCGTTTTGGGATTCCCGAATAAAGGAGGGAGGTTCTTTTTTTGGGGGCCTTCCATTGCTGGGGGCCTTTGCCTCTCTCGCACCAAGAAACACAGTGGCAACCTTTTCCGGGACCCGACCCGACCATGGCGCAGAAGTCGCCGTCTTCGTAATAGACTTCCCCCTCCGGCTGAGGAGGTCACTGGCGCCAGAAAATCTGAGGTGCCCCCTTTCCCGCTGGCGTTTCGAGCTCCCATTTCGGTGGTGGTGGTTTCCGATTTCTAGCAGAACCGGGGCTTTAAATCCAAATCCAAAGCAGCAGGAAACACACAAAAAGAACCTGGAGATTCCCTTAAAGGAAACCAACTCGGGGATGTTTTTTTCATGTCTCCTTCCCTCCATCTCTCACCAGCAAGAAACGCACACACACACAAAAAGAACAGACGACGTGGGGCATACCCAATGAGCAGCAGATCAGCGCCTCGTCTCCTCTTGCCCGAGGCCGCAGCTTTGGAGCTCGGACTCGCTGAAGGCGCCACGCCGCGGCTTTGGCGTTTCTTTGGCGGCGGGTGGCGTTTACTGGGTACCCGCCGAGAACGACACACACACACACACACACACACACACACACACACACACACACACACACACACACACACACACACACACACACACACACACACACACACACACACACACACACACACACACACACACACACACACACACACACACACACACACACACACACACACACACACACACACACACACACACACACACACACACACACACACACACACACACACACACACACACACACACACACACACACACACACACACACACACACACACACACACACACACACACACACACACACACACACACACACACACACACACACACACACACACACACACACACACACACACACACACACACACACACACACACACACACACACACACACACACACACACACACACACACACACACACACACACACACACACACACACACACACACACACACACACACACACACACACACACACACACACACACACACACACACACACACACACACACACACACACACACACACACACACACACACACACACACACACACACACACACACACACACACACACACACACACACACACACACACACACACACACACACACACACACACACACACACACACACACACACACACACACACACACACACACACACACACACACACACACACACACACACACACACACACACACACACACACACACACACACACACACACACACACACACACACACACACACACACACACACACACACACACACACACACACACACACACACACACACACACACACACACACACACACACACACACACACACACACACACACACACACACACACACACACACACACACACACACACACACACTCACACGTTGATATGCATATGTACACACATAGATATATGTATATATAGTGTATATATATGCATACACACACATATATATATATATATATACATATGTATATATGGAGCGTCAATGAACACGACACTAGCGTCAATGAAGAAAAATACCGTTTTTGAATGGACTTTTTATTTTTCAAAGTACTCGTTGCAACCCATGTGACTGGGCACACACTCCCAAGGTCCCGGACAAGTCCGATGGATTGATCCCTCCCTGGGATGGGGATGGGGAGCTCTCGAGCTCGCCGCTTTCTGCCGTGAGGTTCTGGCCTCGGGGTTCTACTTGGTTTGACTTCCCCGACATAGAATTCAACGCAAGGGTTTCCCATTTAAGGTTAAGTCTCGTCTGGACTGCCTCTATTTCTTTTGGGTGTCGTTCTTTCCGAAAGTAGATTGGCGCTGAAGAAGTGCGGGCGATGTTCGGGTCACCGTTCTGGGCACGAAAAGGCTCCGAACTTCTTTTGGCGAATTCGCTCAATTTGAAGCGAGAACGAGCGAGGCCTGGGGACAAGGGTTACTTTCGCTCCCACTAACATAGCAGATGGAAGATAATACCTGACTAACATGGCACCTGTGGGAAGGTACGTGGAAGATAATTCTCCTCTTGTAGGGACCCTCTGGCAGGTGCCCTGCAATGTTCGTCGGAGTGAGGGTACCCGATGTAGCCTCGGGCTTGACCTGGGGAGTTTGTTCGTGCCCTTCCTTCGGAGTCAAGGACCATCTTGACTAGGTCCCCCAGTAGTGCCCGACCTCTCACCCCTTTTTTGGCAAGGGGAGGGCAAGCCCCTACTAAAATAGACTACAGAAAAGGGTTATTCTAACCTCTCTACTGGAGGACCTAGTTGACAGACAGATTCATGAATCCGGCAGTCCCCTGGTTGAGTTTCGACCCATTCCCATTTGGATGTGGTGTTTGTTGGGCTCCTGGGAGGGGTCCGATTGCGAAAAAAGAGACCGGCCAACCCTGTTTGAGGGGGAAGGCTTTTAGGGCCACTTCGCCTTTCTGGTGCTCAGCAGTGAGGGAATGAACACGAAAATTCCCTTAAAGGACACCACAAAGGGATGGTTCATGGGCTTCATTCCCTCATAGCCTTTATGGGCTTCACTCCAGCCAGCAGCTCGTGTTGCGAGCGCAGGAATTCTACCAGCAGAGGCAGAAGACGACGGTTCAAGACCAGTGCGCTTTGCAGTGACGCCACACCCTGCTTCGTGAGTGTCGCGAGCGGCGCAGCCGGAGCGGTTCGGTGACTTCCTTCGTTGGTATGCCAGGAAGACACCCATGTGGGTATGGGTCAAGATTAAACCACCAGGGGACCGCGGGTTTTAGTCCATGTGTACATTTGCCACCGTGCCATTTTGGGGGTACCCTTTTTGACCCACACCCATGTTGGAGACGGCAAACATCAATCCCAAGAGCAGTATATGAAGCTTTTTGTGAGCCAACCCAAACAGCAAAACAGGGTACACTCAAAAACACCGGCACCTTTTTGTTGGGGTTGGCTTTCCACCAAGATCTCTCCAAAGCAGAGAGCCGCGATCCACGATCGCGGGAGGCCAAAGTGCCCGCCTCACCGGCAGCGTTTGAGCTGCGAAGTCGAGGCGCCTGCGAGAAAACCATCGGACGCGAGAAAGGAAGAAGGCGGCGAGGTGGTTGGCTGGGACCCGTAGTTCTTTTTTATTTTAGTTATACATATATATATATATATATTTTCCGTCAGATTCCGGGGCTGACAAGGAAATCCCGGGCAGGGGTGGGGACTTTGGTCGTTTTCTTGAGGCTTGCAAGTAGGGAGCAAGCATTTCATGTTTTGAATCATGATTTGCAATTCTGATCCCTGATACCTCATCAGGGGTTTCGGCTTGAGTGGGGCTTCCCTTTTGTCAGTGGGGCTTCCCTTGTGCCAGCGAGCGGAACCTGCCCAGTTGAGTTGGTGTCCTGAAAGCGCGGAGTTTCTCTTCAACCACCAGTCAAAGAATCCAAAGGGGTGGCTCGTTTTTGGTTGGAGTTGGCACCCTTTTTTGGTGGGATTGAACGGAAATCAGCAGGAAAACGGTTGTGCCATTTTGGAAGCCATGGCCTGAGTGCAGCATGGGCGTCCTTTTGATCGGGTAGTTTGGCAAGAAATAGAAGGGTTCCACTGGTTTAGATGGGTGCCATTCTTTTACCAGGGAGATTCATCGTTTTTGCCACTTTTGGTCACCTATGGGCCAGGTTGGAACAGTTGTTTTGGTTTGACGCCAGATTTGGTAGGAGCAATCAGTTTTTATGAGTTGAGGTATCCCTGAGTTGGTGGTTTGGATTGGTGGTTTGGGGATGTGAACCCCTGCTTCTTGTCTTGGGTAGATGGGACAACCCTCCTTAATCATCAAACCACCAATCCAAACCACCAATTGGAGGGAAGCTGAGATACTGTGCCCCATTCACTCAGGCAGTGAATCAACTATAGGGCTCTGCGATGCTATCGATCTGCCCCGGCTCCCCCTGCTTGCGTTCACATGTGACCGCAACCGACATGCTTAAGGATGCGTCATTCGCCTCGCCATCTCCTTTCAGCGCTTCGAAGCGGAGACAAAGATCTTCTCCGCGGGTGCAGGGTGCAGCAACTGCTCCAAGTGCCAAGGGCAGTTTCAGGGAAGCCCCCCAATCCACGGGAGCATAACACAAGCCAGCATGCTGAATGTAAGTATGTAACTTGATTCTCAGTAGTGTTTTTTCAGAGGCCGGCGCGCCAATTGGTTGGGCTAAGCACAAACTTGATGCTCGACAACACAGCCGACGCAGCACATACACAGACAGCAGATAGATGGGAGCGGGACATCTCCATCAATAAAGGGGAAAACAACTAAATAAATAGATAGATAACAAAAGCAACACAAATCAATATGAAGATCCCATTAAAAAAAAGGGGAAAACAACAACCAAAAAACAACAAAATGGAAGAAAGCAAGTCAATATGAAGATGATTTCTTCTGGGAGTGCGAGCCTGAAGCTGGGCCAGTTGATGTGAGGGAAATGAGTCGACTCGACGTGTGTGATTTCTCGGATTCCTCGGACCGGCCATGGGTAATGTGGGATGGCTGACTTAGCGCCTTGGCGTTTGGGGAGGCTCTGGTCAGTTGGCGTCTGCGAGGATGACCACGTGATGTTGATTTTGGAGTATCCGTCCTGGCCACTTTGGCACCTGACAAGAGGTCGCTTTAAGAGGAACTTGACCTTCCAGGTACCTTCCCACAAGTGCTATGTTAGTGGGAGGGAAGGCAATCAATTGAGCCACTTGCTCAAACGCGTTCGGGTAGATGAAGAGTAATCAGGGACAGCCCGGTGAGGATATCCGTGCTTCTGAATCTTTACATGGTTTTGGGTTGACAATCTTAATCCCAGGTCTTGATTCTGACTCAATTGATGGGCGGGCCTTTCTTTTTCTCCAGGTCCTTCTGTTACCGTTGCGATGGACGTGAAAAATGAACGCTGTGTAGGTTCCTACCACAGGTTGCTGCATTTTTGTTGGCAGCGCGTGCTGCGAATTGTGAAAGAGCACTTAAAATGAGGAAGCCCTTAGTTGGTGGTTTGGATTGGTTGAGGATTTGATCCTCTGGGTTTCTTGTAGAGGGCAAATGGGAAACCACCTCTCAAGCTTTGGCAAAGAATATTCTGATGGGTTTTCACAACACGTTCCTTCATATTTCTGGGACATTGTCAAAATTCCCCCCTTCCCCCACAGAGGCTCGGCTCCGTGCCAGAGTTGTTTTAGTAGGTTGTAACCCATGGGAAGAAGGCCCCGATGACCCCAGTTGCACCGGTTACCACGGTTATGAGGGCTTCCCTCGCTGGCAGATTTCCCTTTGAACTCCAGCGATCCGCTTCCCAGCAAGGTAATTTCGGTGGCCTTCTAGTCGGTTTGGGGGATTGAACCCACCAAAAAGTATGTTTTTTTTTGCTAAACAAATTTCATGCAAACCACACTTGTGGCAGGGGATCCGTTTTGACAGTTTTGATTTTTGCACCCTCAAGACCTTTCTCCCGCTGTGGTCCAAAGGGCTGAGGCTTTTGTCGGCGCGGCACGGGGCATACTAGATATTAAAGCAACTACGTGGAGACACTGATGGATATGATAGGATTAGATTGGATGGACGGATAGATACACACGTACATACATACATGCATGCATACATACATACATACATACATACAGACAGACAGACAGACAGACAGACAGACAGACAGACAGACAGACAGACAGACAGACAGACAGACAGACAGACAGACAGACAGACAGACAGACAGACAGACAGACAGACAGACAGACAGACAGAGACAGACAGACAGACAGACAGACAGACAGAGACAGAGACAGAGAGACAGAGACACAGACACAGACAGACAGACAGAGACAGACAGACAGACAGACAGACAGACAGACAGACAGACAGACAGACAGACAGACAGACAGACAGACAGACAGACAGACAGACAGACAGACAGACAGACAGACAGACAGACAGACAGACAGACAGACAGACAGACAGACAGACAGACAGACAGACAGACAGACAGACAGACAGACAGACAGACAGACAGACAGACAGACAGACAGACAGACAGACAGACAGACAGACAGACAGACAGACAGACAGACAGACAGATACGTACTTACGTACGTACGTACGTACGTACGTACATACACATACACACATACACACATACACGCATACACACATACACACATACCACACATACCACACATACCACACATGCCACACATCCACACATACACACACATATAGCATGCATGCATACATACATGCATACACGCCATGCATCGTGCGCAAGCATACATATACATATACATACGCCATCGCCCGCCCGCCATCGCCGCCATGCCATACATACATGTGCGCCACACACACCACACACACACACACACATACATTACATACACATACACAATACACATACATATATGCACACGTGTGTGTCATCTCTCTCTCTCTCTCTCTCTCTCCGTCTCTCTCTCTCTCTCTACATTATATATATATATACAGATTGACACACATCTGAGCTGACAACTCACTCCGCGAGTTCATGGACTTCAAACTTTTTGGCTCCGGACGAATCCAGTGGCAAGCAGCAGCTCAGCAGCTTTTTTGGCCCGTCTCAGGAGCTCTTCAGCGTCACGGTGCTGGGAGGCGCGCGGTGTGGCAAGACCTCCTTGGTCAATGCCTTTGTGAACCATGCCTGCCCCTCCGTACCGCAGGAGCTCGGGGGAGAAGGGAAGGGCGGGGGGCTTGATTCCTTGTCCATTCTTTTCAACCATCGTTCTTTCCAAAAACCGGACCCGTTTTCCCTGGGTTTCAAAGGAGGTTTTGCAGAAAGATTCGGATCTCTGGAAAGAATGGGGAAGGTACCCATAGAAGTATGGCATATTTGGGAGGGACATGGTACCTAGAGTTTAAGGGGTTGTACCTAGTAGGTAATGGGTTAGAATAATGCTAGACGGACTGAATTGTGGGTAAGTGCAGCAAAGTCTTTCGGTTGCAACTGGGTATAGAAAATGGGGCAACAGGGGTAGCTTGATTTTTTTGATGGTTGTTCTTGAACTGCCCCAGCGAATTGTTTTGCCATGCGCATGCTGCAAGGGAGTCGCACCCGATTAGACGGCTCTCGGGTTTCCTTCGAACCAACGGTAAGGCAACTGGACCTGTCGCCTCGAAGAAGTGCACCGAACCGGTTCGGTATCAGTCTCCCCTCCGAATATCGCCCAAACTGATCCAATACCAGAGGAAATCTAGGCCCGAAAAACTTGGTTGGCTGCGACACGGGCGGCTCGTCTTTTTTTTTGGGGTTGGCGCGCCCCTTTCTTTCTGGCTTCAAGGGACACCAAGCCTTTTTTTTTGGGAAGTCCGATTCCTAGAAAAAGACGAGCCCACACCAAAGCCGGGAACTTGTTGGCCTACTTCAGCCTTCGCCCCCAAAACGGGCTTGCAAGGCCAAGTGGGCATGGGTCAAAATTGAACCACCAGGAATTGGACCGCAGGTTTTAGTCCAAGTTTCCATGTACCAGGGCAACCTATTTTGGGGTTTCCCTATTTTTGACAACCACACCCAACTAGTTTGCAACTCCAAAGGACCGAAGGACAATTCAGTGAGTCCAGCACTCGCGTTTCTTGAGCTGGTGCAAGAAGCGAGTGACGAGCCAAGTGTCGCGCTCCGTTTTCGCCGCTTTTCTGCCCGGAGACGTATCTCAGGTAACCCTTACTTGGTGTTTCTTTTTTTTGGGGGGGGGTGGATTTTAACCTGTGGTTCTTGTGGGGGGTGGGGTAACCTCTCCTTAGCCCCCGTAACCCTTACAAGTTTGGGGATTTGAGCCTGGGGTTCTTGTGGGGGGTGGGGGCCACCGTAACCCTTACAAGTTTGGGGATTTGAACCTGTGGTTCTTGTGGGGGGTGGGGTAACCTCTCCTTAGCCACCGTAACCCTTACAAGTTTGGGGATTTGAGCCTGGGGTTCTTGTGCGGGGTGGGGTAACCTCTCCTTAGCCACCGTAACCCTTACAAGTTTGGGGATTTGAACCTGTGGTTCTTGTGGGGGGTGGGGTAACCTCTCCTTAGCCCCCGTAACCCTTACAAGTTTGGGGATTTGAGCCTGGGGTTCTTGTGGGGGTGGGGTAACCTCTCCTTAGCCACCGTAACCCTTACAAGTTTGGGGATTTGAACCTGTGGTTCTTGTGGGGGGTGGGGTAACCTCTCCTTAGCCCCCGTAACCCTTACAAGTTTGGGGATTTGAGCCTGGGGTTCTTGTGGGGGTGGGGTAACCTCTCCTTAGCCACCGTAACCCTTACAAGTTTGGGGATTTGAACCTGTGGTTCTTGTGGGGGGTGGGGTAACCTCTCCTTAGCCCCCGTAACCCTTACAAGTTTGGGGATTTGAACCTGTGGTTCTTGTGGGGGGTGGGGTAACCTCTCCTTAGCCACCGTAACCCTTACAAGTTTGGGGATTTGAGCCTGGGGTTCTTGTGGGGGGTGGGGTAACCTCTCCTTAGCCACCGTAACCCTTACAAGTTTGGGGATTTGAACCTGTGGTTCTTGTGGGGGGTGGGGTAACCTCTCCTTAGCCACCGTAACCCTTACAAGTTTGGGGATTTGAACCTGTGGTTCTTGTGGGGGGTGGGGTAACCTCTCCTTAGCCCCCGTAACCCTTACAAGTTTGGGGATTTGAACCTGGTTCTGGTCAGGGAAACCTCAGCTGATCCCAAACCTTCGATTTGGCTCCGAACCAATGAAGCGTATCGAAGGAGACCGAGGAGCCACAGCTCTACTACAAGACGCTGAGTATCCCAGCGCCAGGTGGGCGCCCACGGGCGGAATTCCTTCAGCTGTTCGACGGACGGCAAGTAGCTTACAACCATGGTGAGGGGACGGTCGGCTCAGTTGCACCAGTTGCCATGGTTGCCTACTTATGCGACGTTGGTTTTTCATCCAAGTAGAGTGGAGCTTTCGTGGATGCGAAAAGCAAAAAAACGCGCCAGCCGAGCTGAACAAGCCGCCTCTCTCCGTGCTGGTCGAGCGCCTTGGAATCGCTGAGCCGGGCGGTTGATTCTTCTCGAGCCAGGCCCTCCGCAATTGCCTGGACACCCATTTCTGTTTTTGCTTGTGTCCCAGAAAGGCGTTTCTTCCTTTTTGGGGTGGGTTGCCAACCCTGATGAAAACACCATGACGGGTCAGGCGTCATTCATCTACATCTCTTCCGTCACGATTTTTTTTTCTTTGGAATTTCCGGCTTTCTCGCGCCCCCGACTCCCAGATGCTGCATCCCCTGCCCATGCAAATCAAATCGACCCCGCCAAAAACAATAAAACAAAAGTCAACCTAGACGAAGATTGCGGGGATACGCGAAAAAGGGACTCCCGGCCGCCAGAGACCATCCGACGGAAGCTGCCAGTCAACAAATTCCCGAGCAATGGAGGGTCTCCAGAAAGGCATCGGCTTATTTTGTAGGCTGGGATTGCCGCGTTTCTCGCTTTCCAAGTTTGTACATACCGGTTGTTTTCGTTGAAACTGGTGTTGTCCAGGCTACAACACCTTTTGGGAAGCCCGTCTTGCTGAACTCTGTTGCCCAGTGGTGGTTCGATTTTTTTCAAATGGCCACTGGACATCTAGTTCCGGAGCTTGAGGATCGAGGACACCGCCGCGGGGAGATCCGCGGACGGCGCCGGGATCGCCGCTCGGAGGGAAGGCGTGACGTGTGTCACGGCTCGGAGAAGCTGTTCTTCAGAATATCTACAAACACTGCGCTGGAGCAAGATGAGTTCATCCAAGTAGGTATGATCAATACTGGTATTCCTGTTGGGACTTAGTTGATGCCTTATTGGACGTTCGACCAATGTCAAGAAAGTGGGTTGTCACCATGGATACGTCTGGCCCTTGGTTGTAATAGTAACCAGATCTGAGGACAGAAGGTGACATTTTTTGTTCAGAGCTAGGCTTCCCGGGACAGAAGCAAGACTGTAGCTGGCCAATGTCAGGTAAGTAGGTTACCGCCATGGATGTATTTCATGGTTGTAACCTGCTTGCTAAGGTGGTTCATCCCCACAAGTTGTCCATTTTAGTCTTTCCCAAGGGGGTGTGTTATGGGGAAGGTGTTTGGGGGGTTCCCCTCAAGGTGTGAGCGACGGAGACCGGCAGAGCCGGCCTTTAGACCACCAAAGGGTGGCTTTTTACGGCAAACAATTCACAGGTCTCAAGTGACAAGCAAGGTTACCGTAGTGCTTGGTCCCTGAAAGTTGCATTGGGAGTTCTCCCAATTACTTTTGGGAGTTGGAAGACCCGTTTTGACCGCGACAACCTGTTTCACTTTTTCTTTTTTGACCTAAGGTCCCTTGGGTGGACCCAGCTACTTTTGCTTAGTTTACCGGGCTCCGTAGAGAAGATCGTTGTCTGAAGCCCTTGGTTAAGCCCGCGCTTGTTTCCTTTTGGTGTGGTTCTCAAGAGGATAGCACATGTTTATGGGGGCCCTGGTCCCAAAGTCAAGCTCGTATTTGCGTCTGCCTTGTGCAAGCAAGACTTGCTGGTTCTCAGCAGGGAATGAGGGAAGTACCCCCATCCTATAGTTTCCTTTAAGGAATCCCCCAAAGCCGGTTCCTTCCCGACACCCGGACTCGTTGTCATTCCCTACCTATCGCACCAGCAAGAAAAGGACACCAACTAAAAAACTAAAAACCACCTCAGGAGCCAATTGGATGGCGGGAAGCCGCTGAGTCATGCTGGGTCCCCCGTCCTCCCCCCCCCTTCCCCCCCTGACCATCTCCCCAAAGCTGGTTCATTCCCGACATCCGTCATTCCCTCTCGCGGCCAGAAGTTGGATCCCTCCCCCCCCACCCCCAAAAAAAATGGCTGGAAACCACAACAAACAGTTTGAGGGATGGACCCGTCCACGCCCCCAAAGATTTAAATATGATATCAGAGTTGTTAATTGAAAAATCTTCTATAAAAAGAATAACAAATGATGATATTGAAAATAATGATAATAATAATAACAACAATAATAATAATAATGATAATAATAATAATATACATACTTTATATTTAAGCATAACAATTAAGCAAATAATATTCACAATTACGGTATCACTAATAGTATATGTTTTTAATATTTTTACATTATTACGATGTCAATAAAATTGAAATCATTAATTATAATGATAATTCTATTTTGTTTGGAAATGAAGTTTTTTTTTTTTTTTTTTTTTAAGCTACTTATCATAAGATATGTAAAGAAATATCTAATAATTTTATACCCGAAGGACTTTTTTGCCATGATGATTATGATAATAAAATTGAGTGTGGATATGATGTTATTATCGAAACTGCAGATGGAACATTACTTCATAATATTAAAACAATATGATAAAACAAATGAAATTATAATTGTATGTCTTTGCCATTAAAAAAAAAAAAAACACTTTTACCGTAGCCATTTTGGCTCAAGCCGCAATTCTAGTGATCCAAGTTTCTTTTGTATAAATCATCTTACCTTGTGTAGATAAGATGGCCAGTTCAATCAAGTGCCCTTTTTGCAGAGAGATCGGACCTTTTCGTCCGCTCCGCGTTGACACGGCACTCCCCTGTCGAATCTGCTTTCAAGAAGATGTTCGTGAAACATTTGTTGCTATTGCTTGCCAGCATACTTGCTGTAAAAGCTGCGTGACTGAGATTATAAACAACGAGCGCAATACTAGAGGACAAGAACAAAGACAAGTCCCCCACACCCCACACCCCACACCCCACACCCCACACCCCACCCCACCCCACCCCACCCCACCCCACCCCCCTCCCCCCTAACCCCTCCTAACCCCCCCTAACCCCCCCTAACCCCCCCTTCCGCCCCCTTCCCCCCCCTCTTGGCGCGACCGCTTTCAGGAAGATTTCCTGGATGTCCACCGCGACGGCTTCGAGGACGAGGAGTCCACCGAGCTGCTGGGGGGCTGCCGCGCCCCGCAGGCGGGCGCTGGGCGGGCGACGGATGGATGGCTCGAGAGGCTCGAGTAGCCGAGAGGTCGAACCGAGAGCGGTCCTTTTTTTTTTTGGGGGGGGGGGGGGTGTTTTTTTGGGTCCTACCCATGGCAGGTCGGCGGAGAAGGTTGTGTTTCTGTTTTTGCTCAGGTGGTTCGGGTCCTACCCATGGTCTATGTACAGCTTTGCAACCAGGTTGGTAGAACCACAAGTTGGTAGGTTTCGGGCGCTGCATAATGTTGACCCCATATTATTTTGGAACCCCGGTTGATAAATAGGGGGGTACTTCTCCCTGGCTGAAATGTGGTTGGAATCAGACCACTTTTGGAGGGAAACACACCCCCACCCCCTAATATGGCTCACTCCCTGAGTTCCGTTTCGGACTTTCGTCACTTTTTTTGGGTTGGACCATTTTGGGGGTAACTGGGCTTGTTGGCCTCAGGAAGTGAATATATGTTGTTGCTGGTTTCCTTCAAGCCACACCAGAAGGTCCAAGACTCCAAACACCCAGCCGATCCCGACCATCCAAGCACCCAGCCGAATCTAAGCCAAGGAAGCCCCACCGGCGCCTCTGCAGGTGGGGATGTATCGGCCACTGTCACGCAGGCGGATGGGCTTCCTGCGCGGGCCGAAGTCCCGAAGTCTCGTCCGATCTGGCGTCCAAGGTTTGCTAGATCCAGTGCCCTTTCTCACTAGTTTTTTTGGGGGTTGGGAGATTCGGTTCCCCTGCTAGAATAGACTACCGGAAAAAAAAGGGGTACCCTTGTTCTAAGCTCTCCACTGGAGGACCTAGTTTGGTTGCGGGGTGCCTCACCCGGAAACACGAGACTCGGGCCAGAGGTGTCCTTTTCATTGGTGGGTTTGGGCCATGAAATTGATGGGTTCCACTGCCATTTTCCAGGGCCATCTATGTGACCAAAAGTTTTGAGGCTCGCGATGTAGATCCTTTGAAAGCTCCTTCTTTCAGTTGTTTTGGTGGCCATCTTAAGACCTAGGTAAGCTCTCATGGGCCGTTGGTATGTTGGTTTCCCAAAGTTGCCTTGAGCATACGCCCTTTGCATGCAGCTTTTTCCGGGACACATTGCTTCCACGAAAGGGCTTCCGCGTCACCCTTGGGATTCCCGGACTCACTCTGAAACGCGCAACGTGCTCCCCCAGTTAATAAATCCGGGGTGTCTTTGAAGCCAAGCCCCAAAAAGGGTAGCACAATACGAGCCCTTTACACACGGCCTAGCCGAAACATGGTGTTGCGAAGCTGCATTTTGGGTTCCCACTTGGCTGGGGAATCCCCGATTTTGTCTAGCGCCGGTACCCCTTGCTTGGGGGCGTCTTTTCACCGGACGCCAGCAGGGAATTGCAAGAGTCCACTTTTACCCGCCTGTATTCCATCAATGCGAGCGAGGCCAAGCACGTTTCATGGCCATGGCACAAATCGAAAGAGGACGGGGACAAGCCTCCGGCCCTAAAACGCGTTGGACTTCTGCGAATGGGCGCTAACCCTGAAAAGGGAGTGGCTCAAAATAAACCAGGAGCGGTTACGCAGGTTTTGGTCCATGTTTCCACTTACCAGGGTTCCATTTTGGTACCGGTTTTTTGAGCCACAGCCAACAGTCTGGGATTTTTGTTGATGCCCACATGGATTGTGCCAGAATTGATGGACCCCTCAGTTGGGGCTTTTTTAGCATGTTGTCTAGAAACAGGTGGGGGGGTGTCTCCAAGTGGCCTTGTACCCGACCTCCAGGAATCATGGAAGTGGACGGACAAGGTGCCCTCTCCAAGAGAAAGTCTTCCCAAACCATCCGATCACCCGCTTTCATGATTGATGGGCAGAGAGTAGGTGCTTCCCTACAAAAAGGTGCACCGCATGCATTTGCCCTTGAAAAGGGGTCCACACACCCAAGAACAGTTTGTCTTCACACGGGAGAGAATTCGGCAATGGGTGTTTTCTCTTGGGCTTCCCTTGCAGACAACTTTCAAAGCACCCGAAAGATACAACTTTCTCTTCAGGGACCTGTCATGTGCGGTGCACCTTTTTGTAGGGAAGCACCTACTCTCTGCCCATCAATCATGAAAGCGGGTGATCGGATGGTTTGCAGGAGGGAGCATGCTCTTAAACAAAGGCACCACCTAAACGAGCTGCTTTCTTCGTGGCTGGACGAAACGGAGGACTGTTAGCACGGCGTTTGGGCGCGGTTGGGTTGATCACTTCCCTATTTGTACCTTGTGCACTTTTGATATGGGCATGGGTCAAAATGAATCCACCAGAGCACCGCTGGTTGTGGCTCCATTTACAAGGGTTTGATTTTGGGTACCTATTTTTGACCCACAGCCATGTGCCGTGGTGTCGGTTTACCCGTATTGCCTGGCTCTATACCTCCCTGCTTCAAATTTGCCGATTGAGCATATTGGCGCGCAGCTGGCTGTCTTGAGCGAGCAGCTGCAAATACTCAACTGGTGGGAAAAGATGAATTGAAGACTTGCTGAAAGTCTGATCTCCAGGATTACCCCCCAGTGAACATCCTAATCCAACCACTAAAATAGGTTCTAAAAATGGGTGGTGAATTCACCAACCAACCAAAATGAGATCCCATTAGTTTTTGACAACCACGGCCATATCAAGAGGTTCTATTGTTCCTCTTGCTTGTTCAAGGTCGGAAAAACCCAAACACCGCGAAACTTAGGTTTGAGCTCTAACTTTGCTGGCCCTGCGAAAAAAAACACACCGTATCTTACCCGCTTGAACTCCAATTTCTAGGAGAAACGACGTCCATCCTACAAAAACCACAAGACATGGAGATTCCAAATCCTCTCAGCCACTTTCGCGGGTGGCTCACCTGGCAGCATGGGGCTTCATTGCAAGCCCCTCTACAGGTTTGTATGACAAGACCCCCCAAAATTCGTGGGTGTCCTTGTGGTTTTCCCTTCACCAAACAAGGGCTACCCTCTCAAACCACACATCATAAACCTTTCTACCCATGGTCATCCTGGCATCCTGGCACGCCTCAATCACCAGCATGCTTCCCTTTTCAGGCGACCCTGACCACAGGCTGCCGTCGGCGTTCCGACGGCTCCGCTTCTCACTGAGCTGAGGCTGCTCTTCGACGGCTCGGAGGCCTCTCTGGCTGAGGCGGGCGCGAGATGGGTATCCACGTTGGAACAGTACATGGAACCAAGGACTAAAACCTGCGGTCCTATTCCTGCTGCTTTAATTTTGACCCATACCCAGATAGGCATTGCCAAGTCGTATGGGAAGAGAGAGAGGGAGAGAGAGACGTGGCTGTGGGTCAAAACCAATGATACCATGTTGGGGCGGATGTCCCTTACTAACCTTCATCAATCCCCGAGTTTTGCTTATGACTCACTTGCATCCCCACTAAATAGACTAAAATGGGTGGTGCACCTACCTTCTTAATTCTTGAAGCATGGTTCCGGGGATCGACCATTTTAATACCAGGTTTTGATTGCGACTCAAGTCGTATGGCTCATGAGTTTGAGCAGCTGAAGAGAGAGAGAGAGAGGGATATGTGTCCCAAGCCAATCGGTAATATAACGAGCTGAATAATTAGAGAACACAGTATTCTCTTGTGATGACTGAAGTTGGATTGAAAGGCTTTTCACACCGTTTCAATGGTTGAACAGGAATCTCAGGAAAGATCAACTCAGTAAGTTTCGCCTTTTGAACAGACAGTTTGTGGGACACATCAACATCGCACGGTGCTTCTGCGCCAATTTTTTGGGTGTCGGCTGGTTTTCTTTGTTGGTCGCTCTCTTTCGGCGCGGCCGCCGCGGTGGGCCAGTGGAGGCCTTAGAGCTGCACGGTCGCATCAAGGAGCGGAACGGGGATGGCCGGAATACCCAGTCGAGCGAGGCCGTTGGAGTGCGGAGTGCGGGTTCCTCTCTCTCTGAGTTCCTTTTTTGGGGTGCTGGCTCCAGGGGGGTGCTAAACTTTTGCCCCCTTTGGTGAGACAATTTTGGCGACCCCCTCAAAAAGGAATCCTTCACTACGAGGGGCTGGATCATTTTTCCACGAAAGCTGGCAAAAAGACCCCCTTGGCTGTACCATGGATGTCTCGCTCAATTCTGGTTGCATACCTGGGGATCCTTCCTATATTTAGCCAGTGAAGCCTGTTTTGGTGACTTGATCAGTCAGGGAATGTGAAATGGAAGGAACCCAGGCTTTGGTCCCCTGGACTTCTTTTTTTTTTTTTAATGGGTCCTTGCTTTTTTTTGAATTGGGTTGGGGCTCGGCTTTTTTGCACTCAAAAGAAGAGGCTCTCATCCCAGTTGAATGGCCCCTTTGAGTCCTTTTTCTTTTGGTTTTCCTTTTTTTTCTCGGCTGGTGCGATAGGTAGGGAATGAGAAATGGGAACCGGACATGCCCAAATAGAATCCTTACTGCAACCTTTGATTTGGGGAAGTCCTTTTGGGCCCCCTGCCCAAAAAAATCAGAGATCAACCAAAAAAGCCAAGTTTTGAACTTCCGCATACCTCCTGTTTTTTTTTTTTGGGGGGGGGCAACACCCATCCCCTCCGACCCATCCCACGTCAAGACCTACCGAGGCCCGGTGGTGTGCCTGGTGGCCAACTTGCTGTGCGAGCCATCGGATCCTCTCGCCGCCAGGAGGCGTCTGGGGTGACGAGGTGTTGGTTTTCCGTTTTCTTGTGGCTGCTTGTGTTTTTTGGTTCCTTCTATTTTTTGTTTCTGCTTGTTCTTGTTCCTTCTACTTTTCACTTTTTTCTTTTTCTTTTTAAATGAGCAACAGGACAAGGAAAGCAAATGATTTTTGTTTGGGTGGGGGAGGTTGGGAATTGTTTCCTTGTTTGTGTGTGTGTGTGCTGAGTCCCAGATTTACCCTGGGACCATATTTCAGTCATGCAGGGGGACCATCCATTTGCTGTGTGCGATGGTCCAACGAAGCGGCCACAGCAAATGCGGATATCAAGGCTGATCACCTCGACGTACCTGCGCAACATCGTTCTATCAACAGAGCCGTTTTGTGTTGCGTGTTGCGCCGTTGCTTTATACAAGCACCAATGGCTCGATCGGTGACGCGTTCACAGTTTTTTTTAGCAGTCTGAAGCCAACTCGAAATGAAGCAGTCGAACCTGGCTCTCCTCTCCTCTCTTGCGTGACGTACACGAATGTACCAAACCACCCCTTGGGGGATTGAAGTGTGTGGGGAAGGGGGGGGAGGTTCAGGATCTTTTCTTGGTGTGAGCAAAAGAGAGGTGGCGCGTGTCCTTGAGTTTCCTTTCTGGGCCAAAGTTCTACCCACGCAGTTTGTGGGGCCACGGACATGTTTGTCTTGGGGGCCCCGAATTGCCATTGGTAGCGAATGACAAGGAGTTCATCATCCAAATTGGCAACTTTTTGTTCGATGGGAATCGGTTGAACCTTAGGGTTGCAGCAAGCCCCCCCCCCCCGCGAACCTAAATGATCAGCGAGCGCGCGTGCCCTACTAAAGCCGCATTTTTCGTGCCACCAACGCGATCTCCTTGCTGGTGCTCAGTTGGGAACGAGACATGGGTTGAGCCCGGGGATTCGCGAAAAAGGAAAAGAAAAGAAAAGGACACCAACTCGGAAAGGGAGCTTTTTCCCCCTTTTTAAATAAATAGATAAATAAGTAAATAACTAAATAAATATATATATATATATATGTATAATGGTTTTCGGGGGTCAGACTCCTTTCTTCTCTCAGGGCTTCCTATCGGCATGTCGTAGGTACGCGGAGGAGAAGGGGATCCTCTTCTTCGAGCTCCAGGGCTTCGACCTGAAGAAGGCGCGGGACGCGCCGCTTCCGCTCGCTTCCGCGCGTCGCTGGCTTCCGCACTTCCGCTCGCTCGCTTCCGGAGGGTTCCCGGGGTGGTCGCGGCTGTGGGGTGGGTGGTGAAAAAGGTGTGGGTGGTTCCCCTTCTTTCTTTTTTTTCCCTGCCATGGACAATGAGAGTCTATTTTGCGACCAAGAAGCCTAAAAAGCCAAGACCCTAAAAGAAGGAGCTTGCAAAATAGACCACAAGTGTCCACCATACGGGTTTCCCCCTGTGTTTTCGCAACCCTTGGGTGTTTAGGGATGCAGGCAAACCTTTTTTTTCCTTTGAGGTCTTTTCGGCTCAACTTGCGTACACCGCGGACCCACCTTCCATGGCACATTTGCCAGTTCCAAAAAGCAAACCCTCGGGAAATGACTCGTGGTGGGCGATGGGCCTTGGTGCAACCTCCTTACAGATTCACATAGAACCAACACCCATCACTCTTAGAGGAACTCCTTTTGGGAATTGGAATCGACCCCATTTTTGGGTTCCATGCGAGTTAATTTGTAATAGAGTGCTAAACTTGGAATTTGTGAGAGCCCCCTATTCGGCTTTGAACCATTCTGGTTTCAGCATGAGAGTCTCGCTGATCAAGTTTAAAAGGGAGCCCTGTCAGAACATAAGGCTTCAATTCAACCCCCATCAAGAATAAGGTTGAGCAAATTTGGATGATGAGTTTCCTCTTTGATTTCACGGTGGCTTGCACCGGGCCTGCTTCGGTTTGCCCCGTTTTTCTTGCTTCCCCCTGTTGGGTTGCGGCAGCGGGTCATGGCTGGCAAAACGGGAGTCATTGCGGCCCGACGCGAGCCCAGCGAACGGCACGACCGTTTTTTTTTTCCGGCTTCGGTGGGAGGGAAGAGAAGTCCTCCCTCTCCATGTGCCTTTTGGCGGTTCTGACATGTGCCTTTTGAAACTGAACGCGCCGAAACCCACGAAATGCTCAGACATCAGTTCGGGTAAGGGCTGTGCTTGGCATCGGCTCTGGAGGCCATGCAAGTTCGTGTGTACTTGCCAAGTGGGAACTGCTGCTCCGTTTCGCTGTCGCCCGACGCCAGGGTCCAGGAAGTGAAGGCTGCGGCGCAGAAACAGTTCGGCCGCCGCTTCCTCAGCTTGCTATTCAGAAATCAGCAGCTAGATTTGTCATCAACGCTGAAGGAGGTGGGCGTGCAAGATGGGGACAAGCTTGATGTCATTGTGCAGCAAATGCAGCTAGCTCGCACTTACTGGGCATTCGCACTCTACGTTCCCGGAGGCTCTGTGGCGACTTGTGGCTTGCCCAATTTTGGCGGAGACAGCAGCAAGGTGATGGAGCATCTGGTGCACGTCCGGCAGATCCAATCAACTCTGAGTGCTTTTGCTGCTATCCTGGATGATGGGTCTGTGGTGACCTGGGGCAATTGTCAGGAGGGCGGTGACAGCAGCCAGGTGCAAGGGCAGTTGATGCGTGTCCAGCAGATCCAAGCAACTCGGAATGCTTTTGCTGCCATCCTGGACGACGGCTCTGTGGTGACTTGGGGCAGTTCCCACGATGGCGGGGACAGTAGCTGGGTTCAGAATCAGTTGGTGCAGGTCCAGCAAATCCAAGCATCTGAGAGTGCCTTTGCTGCGATCCTGGATGGCTCTGTGGTGACTTGGGGCAGTTCTCACAATGGCGGTGACAGCAGCCAGGTTCAAAATCAGTTGGTGCAGGTCCAGCAGATCCAAGCAACTTGGATGGCTTTTGCTGCCATCCTGGCCGACGGCTCTGTGGTGACTTGGGGCAGTCCTAGTGATGGTGGTGACAGCACTCGTGTACGAGAGCAGTTGATAGGGGTCCAGCAGATCCAAGCAACTCGGAGTGCTTTTGCCGCAATTCTGGCGGGCGGCTCTGTGGTCACATGGGGCAGTTCTGACGAGGGCGGTGACAGCAGCCAGGTTCAAGAGCAGTTGATGCGGGTCCGGCAGATCCAAGCAACTCGGAGTGCGTTTGCTGCCATCCTGGCCGACGGCTCCGTGGTGACTTGGGGCAGTCCTGAAGATGGTGGTGACAGCAGTCATGTACGAGAGCAGTTGATGGGGGTCCAGCAGATCCAAGCAACTCTGTTTGCGTTTGCTGCGATTCTGGCCGACGGTTCTGTGGTGACTTGGGGCCATCCTAAAGTCGGCGGTGACAGCAGCCAGGTGCAGAAGCAGTTGAAGGGGGTCCAGCAGATCCAAGCCAATCTGTTTGCATTTGCTGCCATTCTGGACGATGGCTCTGTGGTGACTTGGGGCAATCCTGAACACGGCGGTGACAGCGGCCGGGTGCAGCAGCAGTTGGTGCAGGTCCAGCAGATCCAGGCAGCTCAGGGTACTTTTGCTGCCGTCCTGAGCGACGGCTCTGTGGTCGCTTGGGGCGATCGTGACTTTGGCTTCGACAGCAAGGAGGTTCACCGGCAGCTGGACTGCCTCTGACAGAGGCGATCCGGATCGCGCCGGCCACCGCCTCCGTCGGAGAAAAAAATCGGTCTTGACTCAACGCTGGCATGGACTCAGACACGCAGCTGCTTCTCTGGCTTGGAAGTCGTTGTGAGTTTCCGAAGGTAACCCGCAAGTACAACACTTTCGGATCAGAAAAGGAACAGCCCAGGCCCAGACCGTTTTTGGAAGCCTCAAGGAGATCTTCAATCGAAAGAAGGGCGTGTGCGCCGAAACCTGCTGCGAAACAGAGTGATTGGCGGATTTGGACCGGCTTGGCTTGCTTTCTTTTAGCACGTTTTTTTTGCGTTAGTCAGCTTCCCTCAGATTGGTTTGGATTGGTGATGTGATGGTTCAGGAGGGGTTTCCCGTTTATTGTCTACAAAAGCCAATGGTTGCCTGATTTAGAACACGAGAGCCCTGAATTGAGTATAGTTGGGTCAGATCTTTTCGCCGGCGTGGTGCGAGCTAGACTGCTGTAAGCTTCTGTCGGAGACCTTGTGCATGTTATGCGATCGCGGGCTTCAACCCCGACCTGCACGTCAGACCTCTTGACCATCAGGTTGCAACTCTATGCCCAGCGTTGAACACGCCCACCCCCACCAAAAATATTCCCCCCCCCCAATTCGAACAACCATACCCCTCCCCCCCAACCCCCGGTGCCATAGACGCCTAGAGTCCATTTTGAGCTGTCAACCATACCCCCCTCTCCCCCCACAAAACCCCCCCCCTCCCCCAATTCGAACAACAATACGCACAATGTCCCCCCCCCCACCCTCCCCTCCCCCCAACCCTCCCCCCACGTGAAGCCGCCTGGCGCCGCCTCAAGGTGAAGCAGCTCTTCCGGGCGGTTCTGATCGCCATCTACGGGCGCCCGAAGCTCTGGAGGCGAGCGGATGGCAGCCCGGACATCCGGGCCCTTAGGGTTTTCATTTTTTTTTTGGGTGGTTGGGGCGGGTTTTCAAGGGTTTTCCAGGTGGATTTTGGACAGCTTCCGTTTAGGCCGGTGTGATTTCCTTTGCTCCACTTGCGGGTTGCTAGTTTGGGTTGAGCAGTGCGCGCCAACAGGCAACCTGAATTACCCAAAATGGCGCAACGGTTGTCCATTTGGTTTCATTTTGAATCAAACCAAGGGGTACCAACTCCCAGAAAGACGCGCCACCCACCTTGAGACCTTGTCGTAAGCGGGCGTTTCGCGCCGGTGAGATCGCGCGCCTGGCTCGAAACTTTGGGGCGTGTCTTTGTTCAGCAATATTTTTAGCTTTTATGTTTATAGGTTCTTTTGATTTAATCCATTCATATAAATATTCAGACATGCATTCCAAACAATGGGTTCCCAAAAAGCCCAGCTGGTGTTCCTCTTCCCTCGAAACCCAACAGGGGCGGCTCCCTGAAAAGGGGAGTGTCCCCATTTGGTTGCTGGCAAAGGGTGGGACATCATGTTTGGGGAAGCATGTTTGTGTCTGACTCTCAGCTGGTTTCTCAACGCGATTCGTGCGCGCGGCAACGGCACACCCAAAACCATGTCTTGGAAGCATAGATGGGTATGGCTCAAAACACCGGGATTCCAACATGGGTTGCCCTGGAAAGTGGAGAACATGGTTGCCCAAAGTTCCGCGTAAGCCCTGGCTCATGAAATTGTGAGCCACTGCCAGATGGCCCAGGCAACTGGTGCCCTTTTCGGTGGGTTTGGCTGAACATAGATGAGCCACAATCAAAACCCGGGTAGATGAAGGTTAGTACGGGGCAGTCTCCTTGCCAGAAACAGTTGCGGCCGCCTTCTTAATTCTTTACATGGTTTGCGGCCGCCTTCTTAATTCTTGAAGCATGGTTCTGGGTAGACCTTTTCAATACCGGGTTTTGATTGTGACTCAGATGGCGATTCCTGGCTTTCCTGGTGGTTGATTCCTCCAGGGCCATTTTTTCTTTTCCGAGCCATGCGGAGGAGTTCCGTGCTTCCGACTTTTATCTGCAAAGGGCTGGCCTTGGTTGGTTGGTTGGTTGCAGCAGATTGGTTTGCGCCGCCCAGCCACGGTTTGCCACCCGGAAGATTGTTGGGCAGGGTGGTGGGATCACTCGGGGTAAGTTCAGCCAACCACTTCTGTGACACTTTTGGGAATCTTCTTTTTTACATGGGGGGGGTTTGTCTCGGGTCACTTTCTGTGTCACAGAAGTGGATTCCAACCACAGCCCTGTTGGGTGGACAGACCAAGGCCCAACAAAAAAACCCGGCTCCCCGCATCACGGCCTTTCCGGACCGGGCCGCGCGCCAGCCCATGTTCATTCGCAGCGAGCCTCGCGGCAAGCCCCGTGGGTTTTTGTGGGAGCCCACTGGCGCTTTTTCGGTTCGAGTCCAATTCGTTCACAGAAACAATCTGGACTTCAATCAGGAGCCTTTTTGCGTACTGCTTTGGTCCCAACTTTCTCGCATAGGTGTCCTGTTTGGTTGTTTGGGTAGAAAAATAGGCTGGGCGATTCCTGGTTTACCTGGTGGTTTTTCTCATCTACCAGGGAAACTCATGTATTTCCCCTAAAACAGGGCTCCTTAAAAGATACAATTTGCCCATTTGAAACATGGCTTTTTCCACCCAAATAGAGGAAAACCACGAGAAAACACGGCAATGTTCAGGTGTATAATGTAAGGATCCCTATAAAAGGACACCTATGCCTTCTCGCCTTTTTTAGCGCCAGTTTGGGCAAGCGCCGCAAGCGAGCGCGGCAGGCCACCGAGGCGCAAGGGAATTGGCGGCTTAGGCTGCTCCCCTCGAAAGGATCAATGAGCAAGCCCCAAGACAGCCAGGAGGGCGTGGCTCGAAATTAACCAGGAGGGGTTAGTTCCGCAGGTTTCCAAATTTCCACCTACCAGGGCAAGCCAGTTTGGAATTCCGGTTTTTTGAGCCGCAGCCAGGAGATGAGGTGAAGAATAGGTCCAGCGAGTCGTGCGAGCCCGCTCTTTTTTTTGACCCCTTGCTTTGGAAAGGGGAGGGTTCCCCTACTAAAATAGACGACAGAAAAAGGGTACCCTTATTTTGACCTCTCTACTGGAGGACGTAGATGGGTTCCACTGGTCTAGATGTGTTTTTTTAGGCCATCCACTTACCAGGGACACCCATCTCTTTGTCCAGTTTAGGCCACCTGCAACACCACGAGGGTAGACACATTAAGATGACCACTGGAGCACCCTCCAGGCAAAAGCGGGCTATAGATCGACCCCTTGTCTCGTGTGCTTTGGGGAGTTTGCTTTCCTTTACCAGTCCGAGGGGAGGTTGGATCGACCCACGTGAGCCGTTTCAGATTTTCCATCTGAATTGCCTCACTCCCTAGTTCATGGACTTTAAACACTTTCGGGTATGGATCATTTTAGTGGCTCCTTTGTTGGTCAATCCACTCAGGAAGTGAGTTGCATTTTCCCCTTTTGGTATTCAAGGGACATGGTCAGGGCCATGAATCTTCAGCAACTTTCCCATGTATGCCTCGCGCAGACGGAAGGAAGGGATGTATGCTAGTCGTGTGTGCCACTCATGCCCCTTTGTCGCAGGGCGTTCTCTCGAGCCGACGGTGGGTGCCAACCCAGTCTTGCAAGTCTCACTTCCTGAGTTCATGAGCTTCAAACTTTTGGGGGCTGGACCCATCTGGTAAATATATACAGTTCGGTTACTTTCTTTGGGCCATCTCAGCAAGTGAGAAGCATTTCAAGTAAGCCAAGCACTCTCAAGCCTCCATGGTTGCAAGTGGCTGGTTGTGAGAGGCCTGGGTCGCCTTCCTTAGGCTTGGAGATCTTGGTGAAGGGTGGCTGGACAGTGACGACCACCCCCTGCTCCAAATACCCACTTTTTTCAGGGTATCTTTTGGGAAAACCGGGTTTTCCATGGTAAATACCTCCTTTTTTAGTAGAGGGTCGACATGATACCCTGAAAAAGCGGGTATTTGGAGTGGGGGCACTGCTATTGGGTTGAACCTGTCGACTTTATGACTGTTTGGTTGAAATCAAGTTGGGTTTTCCACCAAACCCCCAAGAAGTTAGGCAATTGTTGCAGGGTCAACAGCAAGCAAGCTGTTTTCAGGTCAACATTTGGGAGGTGTTGCCAGTTCCTTGCTGGACAAGAGCCTCACCCAGAAAAGCAACGCGCACAGGCCCTTAGATGGGGTTTATGCCCCATTTCCCAGGGAAATATTTTTCCCAAAGGCTAGCTATGATTTCAAGAGTGTGTGGCGATTCGGGAACGGATCTTTGGACTTTTAGCCTTTTGGGAAACATTGGATTTTTCATTGGACGCGCAAATCAAGGCTTTTTGCAGAGGGCTCAACAGCAACCAAGAAGAACTCTTTGACAGCCTCAAATCGCCAGAATGCATGTTTCTTTTTCTTCTTGTGTTGGGTGGGGACTGCTTGCACTTGCAGTTGGGGGGAACTATATACCTCTTCCGGAAGACCAAGGCTAAGAGAGGTGGCCTCTTCTTCTGTCCAACACAAGGGCCTACATCTTGGAATGGGACTTGGGGTGCTCTTGAAAAACCACATAGGTCTATAGGAGCAGACTCGTATTTTTTTTTAAAAACCCTGTCCAATCCATCCGGAGCTCCTTTTTCTCCATTCGATTCGCCCAAAAAAAACGCAGCTCGCAAGGACATCGACCAAACGGAGTACGACTCCGAGGTGGAGGACGAGGCGCGGAGAGGGAGAGAGAGAGAGAAAGATCATGAGAGATCCGGGGTGGGGGTTTGGGGGTGGGTTTCCGAACCCCCACCTTGGCTTCCAATTGCTGCAATTTGAGCAGCAACAGTGACCCCTTATCCGTTGGGCGACTGGTCCTGTTGCTGTACATTCAATTGGCTTACTCTTTTTCTTCATGTACGACTACCGCATGCCGTTTGTTAAAAACTCGTTTTGTGAATCCATTTGCCAGATGGGAAGCTGTTTCAACCTAGGTTTGTGAAAAGAAAGCAAAAATCAAACTTGTTTTTTTTTGAACCCATACGCCAGATGGGTTGGAACCCGTTTCCCCTGGCTGGTTTCAACCTCCCCCCCCTCGGGCTGGGGGCGAGCTCAAGCGTGACACTCGCTGAGAGGACTTGGTGCGGGAGGCGACCCAGAGGGCGCAGGAGGCGCAGGAGGTGCGGGAGGCGCAGCAAGGGGGGGTGTGGGGGGTGTGGGGGGTGTGGGGTGTGGGTGTGTGGGGTATGTGGGGTGTGTGGGGGGTGTTGGGTGTGTGGGGGGGGGGGTGGGCGGGGTGTGGGATGGTGGTGGTTTTAGAAGCTTCCATGGGAGCTGCTGGTTTTAGAAGCTATGGGAGCTGGTGCTTTCCATGGGAAGCTTCATGCGTTGACTGTCATGATTTTTGAGTGTGTTTCGAAGTCAGCAACTGGGGGCTGTTCCGATTGTCACCGAACGGGGGTGGCTTTGCCAGGAGTCCAGGTACTAGGTTTCTCGCTGAGCGAAGACTCACTCGGACCTGGGCCGAGCATTTGCAGCCGCGACCTTTCTGTGCCGTTCGTCGGCACGGAAGGGACGCCACGTTCCGCGTGCGAGACGTTCGTGATCCGGAGCTCTGCGCAGTTCGCTCTTGCTTCCCGTGCAGAAAGACACCCGCTTGCGGGTGTCCCGATTTGCAGAACACTATTTCTGGGGTTCAAACCACCATTAAGACAATGGGAGTTCATATAGCCACCATTACCTAAGATTCGTCATCTAAATTGGGTCAATCTTTGTCTTACTGGGGGTTGAACCCCAGGGCTACGGTGAGTTTGGGAAGAAGCGCTGGACTGCAGGCCAAAGGAGCCGGCAAACGAGCTGGGGACAAGCTCTGAATCTGTCGCCACGGGGGGCCCACAAGGAAATGGACGCAATAACACCAACTTGTGCCTGGGGAAAATGTTGCTCTTATACAATACATTATACAATTCTTGTGCCTGGGTTTTTTGTTTGGGGAAAATGTTGCTCTTATACAATACATTATACAGTTCTTGTGCCTGGGTTTTTGTTTGGGGAAAATGTTGCTCTTATACAATACATTATACAGTTCTTGTGCCTGGGTTTTTGTTTGGGGAAAATGTTGCTCTTATACAATACATTATACAGTTCTTGTGCCTGGGTTTTTGTTTGTTGGAACATTATACAGTTCTTGTGCCTGCTGTTGCTCTTATACAATACATTATACAGTTCTTGTGCCTGACTTGTGCCTGGAAAATGTTGCTCTTATACAATACATTATACAGTTCTTGTGCCTGGGTTTTTGTTTGGGGAAAATGTTGCTCTTATACAATACATTATACAGTTCTTGTGCCTGGGTTTTTGTTTGGGGAAAATGTTGCTCTTATACAATACATTATACAATTCTTGTGCCTGGGTTTTTGTTTGGGGAAAATGTTGCTCTTATACAATACATTATACAGTTCTTGTGCCTGGGTTTTTGTTTGGGGAAACTGTTGCTCTTATACAATACATTATACTGTTCTTGTGCCTGGGTTTTTGTTTGGGGAAAATGTTGCTCTTATACAATACATTATACAGTTCTTGTGCCTGGGTTTTTGTTTGGGGAAAATGTTGCTCTTATACAATACATTATACAGTTCTTGTGCCTGGGTTTTTGTTTGGGGAAATGTTGCTCTTACACAATACATTATACAATTCTTGTGCCTGGGTTTTTGTTTGGGGAAAATGTTGCTCTTATACAATTCTTGCGCCTGGGTTTTTGTTTGGGGAAAATGTTGCTATTATACAATACATTATACAATTCTTGTGCCTGGGTTTTTGTTTGGGGAAAATATTGCTCTTATACAATACATTATACAGTTCTTGTGCCTGGGTTTTTGTTTGGGGAAACTGTTGCTCTTATACAATACATTATACTGTTCTTGTGCCTGGGTTTTTGTTTGGGGAAAATGTTGCTCTTATACAATACATTATACAGTTCTTGTGCCTGGGTTTTTGTTTGGGGAAAATGTTGCTCTTATACAATACATTATACAGTTCTTGTGCCTGGGTTTTTGTTTGGGGAAATGTTGCTCTTACACAATACATTATACAATTCTTGTGCCTGGGTTTTTGTTTGGGGAAAATGTTGCTCTTATACAATTCTTGCGCCTGGGTTTTTGTTTGGGGAAAATGTTGCTATTATACAATACATTATACAATTCTTGTGCCTGGGTTTTTGTTTGGGGAAAATGTTGCTCTTATACAATACATTATACAGTTCTTGTGCCTGGGTTTTTGTTTGGGGAAAATGTTGCTCTTATACAATACATTATACAGTTCTTGTGCCTGGGTTTTTGTTTGGGGAAAATGTTGCTCTTATACAATACATTATACAGTTCTTGTGCCTGGGTTTTTGTTTGGGGAAAATGTTGCTCTTATACAATACATTATACAATTCTTGTGCCTGGGTTTTTGTTTGGGGAAAATGTTGCTCTTATACAATACATTATACAGTTCTTGTGCCTGGGTTTTTGTTTGGGGAAAATGTTGCTCTTATACAATACATTCTACAATTCTTGTGCCTGGGTTTTTGTTTGGGGAAAATGTTGCTCTTATACATTACATTATACAATTCTTGTGCCTGGGTTTTTGTTTGGGGAAAATGTTGCTCTTATACAATACATTATACAGTTCTTGTGCCTGGGTTTTTGTTTGGGGAAAATGTTGCTCTTATACAATACATTATACAATTCTTGTGCCTGGGTTTTTGTTTGGGGAAAATGTTGCTCTTATACAATACATTATACAGTTCTTGTGCCTGGGTTTTTGTTTGGGGAAAATGTTGCTCTTATACAAAACATTATACAATTCTTGTGCCTGGGTTTTGGTTTGGGGAAAATGTTGCTCTACAATTGACAGCAGCGTTCAAGATTTACTGTCATCTAGAGTAGGGGGACAATTGCTCCACCTCATATTTGGAGCCCCCCACCCAAGGTCATTGGGGAGGAGAAATTGTTTTGCCAGGCAACATCGCTCTGGGACGTTCGCGATTCTTGGTGCGTTCAAGGGAACCCCCCAACAAGCACATAATGTGTGCGCTTGTCCTTCAAGGGCACCCCCGAACAAAAACCCAACAATGGTAAGGAGCCCACTAGCAAGTTCTATACATGGCGCAAAGTGTTACGTGCATCGTTCAAGGCCACGTATGGTTTCAAAAAGAAAAAGAACGTACACCGAGGAGCAACGGTTTTTGGGGTGTGCAGAAGTTTTTGCCGCGGCCTTGGAAATGAAGGGTTGAGGATCTGAGCTCCAAAAGTCGCCTTCGCGGCTTGAAGGGGCTTTGACCCACAGGGAGACGCTGAAGTGGCTGGCTTGGTTCCACTTTGGATCTCCGACTTGGATGGGGCTAAGGCCTAGGCCCTCTACTAAGGAAGCTCCCTTTTCGTGGTTCCCAGCCATCCGGTTCAACTGAGGTTTCTACGTTTTTTTTTGTTGGTTTTAGTGGTGTCCCTTTAACCCACAAGTTAAGAACTGTTAATTAGCAGTGGAGCATTTTGGATGGTCTTTCAACAGCCCACTAAAGTTTTTTTGGTTTTTTAAGCAAAACATCTTTTCGGTCAGAACACGTGGATGGCCCTGATGTTTGACAAATGGTCCAAGAGCCGTGAGAGTCGAAAAGACACGGGGAATTGTGTACACGCGTTTAGCACTTGTTTTGTAGTGCGCAGCGCTGCGCTGCATTGCAGGCACTGCGTGTTGTTTCGAGTGTTCGTAGTGCGTTTCGTATGTGCGTTCGACGTGCAGCGCAGCACGACTTGCGATTGCGGTGCGCAGTGCACGCAACGTCGCACCTCGGTAGGCCGCGAAGGTTGAGGCGGGGGTTCCGATGATGGAGGTTGGCTCTGGGCATCCCGGGGCGGTACTGGGCCATTTTCATGAGCGCTACTAGCCGGAGATGCGGCTCGTCGTTTTTTTGTTTTTTTGCGCTGGTGCCGTTTTTTGTTGTTGTTGTTGGTTTCACAGGACACCCGGGGTCCCTTTTCGGGGGAGGGGGGGTCCCGGAAAAACCGACACGCCCCAGATGGAGATAGCGCCCCCGGGAAAAGTCCACCGAAAAGGTCCCCAAGAAAAGTCATGGTTAGGGATGGTCATGCCTGGTGGTAAGGATTCTTAGTAACAATCATGATCCCCTTTTCCGGGAGCCATAGGCCAAGGAGTTCCATGGCTCATGCTCGCCTGTGAAGGACCTATACTCAACAACCGATTTCCGAAACCGTCCCAGCCATTAACAGGTGCCGCCCCCTTTACCGGCTGAGTTTGGTCAGAAATGCTTAGACCGCCTCCCCCCCTTTTACCGGGTTAGTTTGGTGAGTAACTGGATGGGTTACTCCCCCTTCCACTGGTTCAGTTTTATTTCTTCATCTATCTACCAGGGAAACTTATCTATGGCATGGGTGGGGTGCGCCAGCCGGCCTTGGGATCCAAAGCTTTCCTGGCCTCGCTTTGCGGAACGGCAACTCAGATGTAAGGCCCACCTCGCGACTCTGCGTCTTTTCTTCTTCCTTGGACGCAGAAGAACTCCACGTTTGGAGAAGTTGGATTTCCCTCAAGCGTCTGGCCCCAGAAAAAAAAGAAGAAAACAAAAACAGGTCTCCCTTGGACTCCATGGTGCCGGCGGGATTTGAATCGCCCCAACTTTGATGGCCCGAGCATTGCGCTACTCCGTACCATCGCCTACCTGGCACTACATAAAGGTACCTCTGGTTTCTCGTCCCACAGGGTTGCCACATGCGCAGGGGCGGCAGGAAAGGGCCTCGGTGCCGAAGGAGGCCGATCGGTCGCCTTTTTTTTTCTTTTTTTTTTCCTGGCAGGTCCTTTCGGAGGGAAGAAACGGTCCATTGCTTGTTAGGCGCCCTGATTTTGAGGAACCCTGTGCTCCTCTCGTTTTTTTTTGTTTCAAGCATCAGCTTTTGTGAGTTCAAAGTGAGTTTGCTTTTGGTGTGGTGGGGAAAAAAGGGGAGTTCAGGGAAACTCTCCTCAGGGTTCCTTACATCTTGGCGTCGGCTTCCCCCATGGTGGAAAGTCCTTTTAGTTTTAAAGATTTTGAAGGGACCCAACAGGAAGCCCTTCCATTTCAAGGGTTACCCAAAGTTTGGCCTGCGAGCTGGGAACACCACCCAAATGGGTAAATGGGTGGTGTTCTTTTGGTTTCCCGTTAACCCCCAGCCCCAAAGGCGGGGGGGGGGTACCCTAAAATGACAAAAAACACACAACCTCATGTCAAATCGGGTTTGAGGCTTCTACTTGCAGGACCTAAACAAAAAAACTAGAACAGGTGGCAGGGCATTTTTCCGGCCAGGTTAAGGCATGATGATCGGAGAATGATGCTTGGAACTTGTCATTTGTTCGCCCCCCGCGCAATCGTTTGAGTGAAAGAAGGATCACCTTGGAAGCCCTTCTTTCGGATCCTTGTGGACATGGGGAAGGGCGCAAGCGCCCTTGATGTTTTCCGTGCAGGTCTTGCGGACCGAGGCACACGGGTTCGGCTGGGCGAGCGCGGGGACGGGCCTTAGAGGGGCTTGGAAGACTTGGATGCCCAACAAACTTAGCAAGTAGGGTATAACCATAGTTCTATCTCTTGTGACTGGGGTTAGTCCCCTTAGAACCGTGGTCATAACCTACTTCCTAAGTTGGTTGAACATCCGAGCACGCAGTTCTCCAGGTCGAGTTTATTTTTGCCTTTTTTGACGTGGTCAGACAGACGCACAGGCACACATGTGTCGTAGATAGACTTCTAGGTCATTGAGTCTTTGGTTTCGAGCCCTCAAAATCGTCGGCGACTTCGTCTCTGCCAAGAAACAGTGAGGGATGATGAGGGCTACGAGATATGAGAGGCAGCCCATGCTCATTCAGGTACGCAAAGCTGAGGTTTTTTCCAGTCGCGCTTGGCTTCCCGGGCTTCCCTTCAAAGTGAACTACCAAGAAGTTCTTCCCGAGAATTAGCTCCCCTTTTTGCCTTTTTGGGGTTCCCTTTGTTTTCCACGAACCAGGCAAAGAAGAGAGATAATTTTTTTTGCTGGGGTTCTAATTCCAGCCCAGGAAGAGGGTGCTTCCCTTTGGCCGCCGAAGTTTGGGCCATGAGAATGAGCCAACTCAAGCCAAGCATCTCAGGTTGACCCCATCACTTTTGTAGGGGAACACCCCCCTATAAATACTAAGCAATCGTATTTGGCGGCGTTGTTCCGCGCGGTGTCCGCAATAAACATGAGAAAACTCAAAAAGCGAGAAAATACAATTACACAGTATAAATACACTGGGGGTGATTAGTATGGGGTCAGCAGTACGGAACGACTTTGACAATGGTAGACACACAAATTTGCTAGTCACTGCTAGTCATACCCGCAGTGCTGCAAGATGGTCCCTGCAATCTAGTCTTGTTGTTGGTGTCCCTTTGTTTATGCATTGTTATGGCTTGTTTGCAACTTGTTATGGCTTGATGTGGCTTGGTCCCTTGAGTCTACTAAGTGATTGTTATGCACTACTGTGGATGGACAAAATCTATTCCATTTCGCACCACCTGAGAGACGCTGGAATGATGATTCCCCTGTAAATACCAACAAACCATGGCTTCCCTGGTTTCGAAGTGGTGCAGAGCTTCGTCCAACCACAGCATCACGGCTTCAGCACATCCGCGTCACACGCATTTCTCGACTCCCATCCGCACACGCTCACCGCTCACCGCTGGCTTTCGGCTCCAAGACTTGTGCCCGAGGCGGCCACATCACGCGGTGAGTTTCCGGCACTTTCTGATTCTCAGCTTTCACACCAAGCCATGCGCGAGGCGATCTGCATCCACATCGGCCAGGAGCCTTCCAGAGTGGAGGGCAAGCCTTTGGTAATCATGTGATTGTTTTTTTCTCGCTGCTTTCTTTAACGTTAGCACGCGTGTGAGTATTTTCTGGTTCGGGTACATAATGCGACTTGGAACATATACCCCAGGCCGGCGTTCAAATTGGCAACGCCTGCTGGGAGCTGTTCTGCTTGGAGCATGGCATCCAACCTGATGGTCAGATGCCGTCCGACAAGACCATTGGCGGCGGCGATGACGTATCGCGCTTGACATGGCCAGTGCTTAGTTTGGCTTTTCCTGCCAAATGCCAACCACGCATTGGATCATGTGTCGATGTTGGTGTCAAGATGTGTTTGTGCTGTCAGATGGCAGTTCTTCCAGGCAGTTCTTGGCAAAAACAAAAGCAGCGCTTGGACGAGGGTGCAATCAACAAAGGGGCGAAAGAACACCCGAAGATACCTTCCCTCGCAAGATCCCTGGACGCCTTAAGACTTGGTTCCACAGAGGGCTTCTTGGAGTGATAGTGTGAGGGAGTGTAAGATCACGAGGCAAACGCGGCACCCAGAAACCCTTTTGGCTGTCGATTTGGACGTTCCGAGATGCTGACGGACCAAATCTTGCACGTGGAAACCATGGTTGAAACCATGACTAGGTCCCCAGCAATTAGTGCCCTTTTGCCCTTTTTTGGGGGAGGGTTCCTACTAAAATAGACTACAGAAAGAAGTTTGCACCCTTATTCCAACCTCTCTACTGGAGAACCTAGATACGGTTTCTTGGTAGTTAGAGGGGAATCATCCGAAACCAGGGTCCCTCAGTTGGCGCGACATGGATTTGGGGTCGGCCTCCCTGGGCCCTTTGCTGCGAGGGTCCAAGGGGAAGGTGGGCCGCAAAGGCGGGAGCAGGACGCCGGAGGGATCCCTCCGGAAGTTGGATTAAGTTTCAGAGGTGCATTTTGCTTGGATGTTAGGACTTTAACTTTTTGCCCGCCAATGGGATTTCCATTGAACCACGAAAAGTCAAACTTTTAGCAGGGGAGCAGATTACTGCCGGAGTTCAAATCGATTGGCTATGAACTTTGGTGGGAACCCCCCCAGAAAAGTGGTTGGTGGACTCAAATCCCCACCAAAATGATGTCCACCAAAGGGCCCAAAAATTGCAACTCATAGCCAACGGTTGTTTTGTACGAGGCTTTCTACAGAACAAATTCGCTTCGTGCGAGAAATAGGGGGTAGAAACCCCGGAACCCCCCGCGTCGGAGTTCAGAAATCAGTACAGCATGGGATCCCGGATCCCCATGACTTATCAGTGTGATTAATGAACCGAACGTTACCGAGTTGCCCAGTGGTGCCCTTTTTTAAACTTTTTTTTTGGGAAGGGGTCCCCCTTGAAAGTCAGCCAACCAACAAAGGATGCCAATTTTTGTGGTTTACTTGCAAAGCGGGTTTGACACATACAACACATATTTTTGCAATTCTATGCGCTCAGGCATTCAACACTTTCTTCAGCGAGACTGGAGCGGGCAAGCATGTTCCCCGTTGTGTGATGGTTGACCTGGAGCCGACGGTCGTTGATGAAGTGCGCACTGGCACCTACCGTCAGCTCTTCCATCCAGAGCAGCTCATCTCTGGCAAGGAAGACGCGGCCAACAACTTTGCATCGAGGTCAAATTTAGTCGCTTCCTAGCGGTATTTGTTGTGTCACGCCAGTACCCCACCAAACGTGTGGCATGTGTTGCTGAGAAACTGTTTTCAGTTGAGAGGCACGGGGGCACTACACCGTCGGCAAGGAGATCGTTGATTTGGTCTTGGACCGATCCTGATCGGAATTGGAGATTATTTCAGCTGTTGGGGGACGTCTTTGTTGACTCAGTTTGGCGGTCCGGAAATAATTTGCAGATCCTGGGAAGCTGGTATGGCTTGTGTGACAATGCGCTTGCAACTTAGGAATCCGCAAGTTGGCCGATAACTGCACTGGTTTGCAGGGCTTCTGCGTGTACAACGCGGTTGGCGGCGGCACGGGATCCGGCTTGGGCTGCCTGATGTTGGAGCGCTTGTCCGTGGACTATGGCAAGAAGAGCAAGATCTCCTTCACAGTTTGGT